GATTGTATAGCATATTCTGAAGCGGACAAATACTGAGAGTATCATACCACAAAAACTGCGGAATGCTGGTCTGCCAGATAGTCCGAAGCTTGAGAATGTTAGCACCCCTGAGGTTGCTGGGCCGCCGTCCAGACAGCAGACCCCGGAAATAGGCCGCACTGATAGTATTCACCTCAAAGAGAAGAAGTAAGTATTATTTTACATCCATATTCCTTGGAATTAAAGCCACCCTGGCGTTTATAGTTTGGGCTTATAATGTAATCTCAAATATCATGCTTACCCGAGGCGTAAAACCGATTAAAAATTTTCCGAGAATACCGACTAACTTCAAACTTCTAACTATAGAAAGGGCGTGTCATTCCTAAGTCGATTCAGCATAATTGGTGGGAAGAAGAAGGACCAAACATTCGATGCGGATGACGATGAATCGGAGCTTGGAGACCCGCGGACTGAAGGCATGAATGCATGTGTCTTTTCTTCGTCGATAGGTGCGAATGGATACATACCACAGCATAAAGAACCGCCGAGATATATCAAGGTACGGGCGCATAACAAGAAGGATAGAGAGTTCAACCGCATGTTCCTAGCTCAAGAGCTAAGCGGCAGTAAACACCATTCAGTCAGTGACGAAAAGGTTCCTGGAATAACGACGACAGATGTTCCTCATAAATTGTCCAAAACTGGGAAAGCTGGTGGAGCGGTCTGGGCGATGGAGTTTAGCAAAGATGGGAAATATCTTGCGGCGGCTGGTCGAGACCAAGTCGTGCGAGTGTGGGCTGTCATTTCGACTCCGGGGGAACGACGAGAACACGAACATGAGGAAGATGTTGTTTCTGGATCTTCGGGCGGTGAAAGATTGAGTGCACCAGTTTTCAGGTCAAAACCAATCCGCGAGTTCGAGGGGCATACCGGTGATATTCTAGATCTGAGTTGGAGCAAGAACAACTTTTTGCTCTCTTCCTCCATGGATAAGACGGTGAGATTGTGGCATATCAGCAGACAAGAATGCCTTTGTACATTCAAGCACAAAGATTTTGTCACATCAATAGCTTTCCATCCCAAGGATGACAGGTTTTTCTTGGCCGGCTCGCTAGACTCAGTTTTGCGATTGTGGAGTATACCCGACAAGTCTGTGGCGTTTTGGAATCAGCTGCCAGACCTAATCACGGCTGTGGCGTTCACCCAGACGGGAAGACTGCCATGGCAGGTGTGTTATCCGGGCTTTGTTTGTTCTATGAAACAGAAGGCTTGAAATACCATACGCAGATCCACGTGAGATCTTCTAGAGGAAAGAACGCCAAGGGAAGCAAAATAACTGGAATTCGGACGATTACCTTTCCACCAGATGATCCAGAAGGGGAGATGAAAGTTCTCATAACAAGTAATGACTCACGAGTTCGTGTGTACAATCTTCGAGACAAGAGTCTCGAAATGAAATTCAGAGGGCATGAGAATACATGCAGTCAGATTAATGCCAGCTTCAGCGATGATGCACAATATATAATCTGCGGAAGCGAAGATCGAAAAGCCTATATATGGTCTACCACTCAAGTAGACCCCGAGAACAAAGATAAGAGGCCATTGGAGTTTTTCGAAGCACACCCGGACATCGTCACAGCAGCAATCATTGCCCCGACGAAGTCTCGCCAGCTTTTGAGCGCCTCTGGAGATCCAATATATGATCTTTCAACCCACCTCCGGTAACCTTACTGAGTAGAGAGGAGTCAAATGCATCTTCTATGCCGGCACAAAATCGAGAGGCAGAGAAGCAACATTCGGGTATCGAGATCCTAATCAAGAAGCCAGAGGAGACACCTGCTTATCTTGCGCGATGTACACATATGGACGGTAACATAATTATAACAGCGGATTATCAAGGAGGAATCAAAGTCTTTAGACAAGACTGTGCATTCCATAAGAGACGCCAAGAGTCGTGGGAAACTGGATCAATGTTCTCTAAGAAGATGCTCGGTCGAAGCAATAGCATCATGACACGGAATAGTGCAGGATCACATTCTCGACGAAACTCAGTCTCACGAAACTCCACCGGTGCACCGACATTACAATCTGATCATATACTTTCATGGCGCAATTCTGTCAATAGTAATACTAGTTTGGATAATACAATACGCTTTGGAGCGAAGAATTCTCGCACGGATCGAAGCGTCTCACCTGGCAAATTCAACCGAGGTGGCCAGTCTCCATCAAGTGGCGGCTCCCATTCAAACCTCGCAAGCACAGCACGACAGCCGCAATACACAGCAACGCCTTTACATAATGCATCTAGTGTTTCCACAACCAGTCCACCACAAAGTCTGTATAAAGCGCCTAGTTATAATATTAGTCAACCACCAACACCAGGCTTTAGCATGAAGGGCGACAGCGACGATAATCCCTTCTGTTAGATGGCTCAGGGAAAAGCTACCAGTTCTGGAACGTCGCGTCCTGGAAAACCAGCTCGCCGGACCCATCCAAGCTAGCGTCAGTCGCGCCAAAGTTGGAGAAGAAAGGGAGTTATGTAAGTGAATTAAGCAGTGATGATCCGGGCACGGAAGAAGATTCTAGCGAGGGCGAAGCACTTGCTTGTAGGAAATGCGGTGGAAAAGATTTTCGAGCGAGAAAGGTGGGCAAAGGCCAGAAGCTTGTGTGTAAGAAGTGCGGGACGACGGCGGATTAGACAAAAGGGCGTCATTTGTAGGATGGATGTTTCGTTGTTTTGCATGAGAGGGTGTTTGGATTAGGTTTTATGGTTAGCGATGCGTTTAGGTGTCATATCCTGGGAAGGATCAATACATGTTTCTCCTCTAAATCTTGATCTTCTTTGCGTAATGAATTCATAATTGCAGGGTGTTAGTAAGTGCGAGTTATGTCATACGACCCGCTGCGTGGGAGAGGTGGATGGCTCCACAACCCAAATCTTTCACGTCCATGTGCTGGCAAGCAATTTTCAGACTCAGAGCCAAAGTCAACCCACAAGTGACTCGCCTCACATCTTCTTGCCGACTCCTTTACAAATCCAAGCTCTCCGATTCAACGCTCCTATTTTTTTCGTTTCAGTTCGCTTCATCTCCCGATTATTGACCCCTGTTGTAGGCGAGTCCCGGAAGCGCTCTCATTCGTCTGTCTATGTACCGTAATCGCAAAGTGGTGCGACTGGCTTCCAGAATATCCGTTGAATGCAGAACGCTGACATATAGTGAATTGCGCTTCTCCGTGGTCTCCTTGGAGGTTTGCTTCTCAGTGTTCCTGAATCATACGATCCATACAAAATGCCTATCGTCCAAAATGTATATAAAAAGCAGCGATCTTCGTTTGATGTCATGGACATTTCGAAATTCAAAATATCCACATATATCTGCTTGATTATCGCATACAAATTCACACCCGCTTCTTGTTGCTGTTTGAAAGATAATCTACGATGCAACATATCTCAGCCGAGTCGTTGAAAAACGACCTTCCGTCGAGGATCGCGTATCTTTCGCAGTTCCTGGGCCTGACCACGGACGACACAGATGCTCTACTTGCTTCCGCGCCACTTATCGCCCCCTCGTCCCTCCATCCTCGATGCCGTCTATACCAAGCTCCTGAGCTTCGACATCACCGCCCAAGCCTTCGTGCCCAAAAACACCGACTACAAAACCGTGAAGAGCGTCCAGGAGCTCACGCTCGACCATCCTCAGATCGCCCTCCGGAAGGATTTTCTCAAGGTGCGTTTTTTGGCCCTTTTTGAGACCAGCGAGATAAGATAAGAAGGAAAGCTGATAGGTGGCTATAGAATTACCTCGTGAAGTTGGTGACCACGAAAGATCTTGGCCCCGATAGCAAATTCTGGGTCTATCTGAATAATGTGGGGATTATGCACACGGGGAAGCCGGGGTTCAAGCACCGGGAGAAGAAGCCTGAGCTTCGTGTCGAGTATATCCATAGTAGGTCATGCCTTTTCCGTTCCCCCTCCACCCCCTTTCCCTTCCTCTATTTTTTTTCAAGGATGACGCAAGAGATTCGCTAACGGATATATCATAGTGAGTGTCTTGCTGGGCTATGTGGTTGATGTAGTGATTGCTGCGGTGATGGAGATGAAGGAGATCGATACGGCGACGAAAAGTCGCGTGTTGAGGGCGCTCAACAAGGTCATTTGGATCCAGAATGATCTTTTTGCCAGGCATTACCTGGCTGATGAGAACGAAGAAGGAAAGTAGAGAATTGAGATGAGGCCGTGCCGCCTTTTAGAAGACGTAGACATTGTTACTAGATGGAGACTAGATGTAAGATAGGTTAGCGAGACGGCGTGTCATGGCTCGGTGTCTAGGGATTGCTGCTCTGGCGTTTGTGTAAGATGGGCGGATGGAGATGATGCTTATAATGATAACATTACATTGTAGAAGGCTAGACGATGCTCCAATACAATATACATACACGAAACTTCCGACGCAAAGATTTTGGACGTTTTTATGTTAAGGCAAGGGTTGCGTAGTAGGCAAAAGCTAAGTGTCCAAGATTCTGAGAGGCAGAGAAATCAAAGGCCGAAAGCCATTCTCGTGTGAAAGCCACAACAGGGCTACCTAAAGCAAATTATCAATGTTCCAGAATTCATAATAACCTCCTCATTTTAGTGTTTGGTCCTTTCGCAAAAACAGCCTTACTTGTTGCCCGCTTGAGCATGTTGTGAAGTGAATCTCTGTTCCTTTGTCAACTCCTTTTCCTTACCCAAGAAAATATCTCATGCGGTATTAGTTCTGGACACATTCTCCCCGGCATCCATCTTCTAGACTGTGAAAATACCAATAGAGACAGTGCAGCCGGTGCTCACTTGTCAACTACCAAGATATCCTTAAGCGTTCTAGCAAATACCGCAGCACGTATGGCCAAACGAAACAAAAAGAATCTTTGTTGTCGTGTCAAGCCTCCTTCAACGGGCTCCGATAAATATGCATCTCAAGAACCACCTCTCATATACGCCCGGGTTCACCCAGATTCTGCCTTGACACCGGCACAAAAAAGGACCTGGGCGGGACTCAAACCCGCGTCTCAGCAAGCTGCCGTATGCTAACCACCTACACCACCAGGCCACGCATTGCTCTTGGAGGATTGAATGGTGAAGCGTCGGGATGGATTTATATATGTCGGGTATGGGCACGGATATATATGCCGCGTTAGCCGAGAGGCACCCGGGTAAGATATCGGGTGATGCGGTCGTCGCATGCTGAAGGCTGCGTGGCATTTTATGTTTGGGCAGAATATACCCAGCTTTAGATATTTTATTTTAAACCTTGCTTTGTTTGGATGGTTGTAATAACAGGGCCATGCTCTAGAGCTGGATAGTCATTTAGTGATGGTAACTGCTTCCTTTTATTTTTATCGACTTTGCCTTTCAGTTCAATGACTACTTTCAATAAACAACCCACCTTCCCCCCCCCCCCCAGTTTTAGGGGTCCCAAATATAAATCGTAGATACAGCCAATAGAAACTCTAACAGTCCTGCCCTAATGCACATAAACATGTATCGCAATGAGTTCTAAACCTCCAATCTAGCGTGCTGCATGAAAACCATGCAAGCCTTTTCTCTCAGGCAAACCCACCATGCTGCTGCGAAAGGACGTTGGTTGCACCAGCTCAAAGCAGTCCTAATCCCGGTGCCAGAATCTACTTTCTCCTTTGCTTCAAGAAGCTGTCTCCGCCCGAGATATGCTAGAGATAGGTAGGCGATTCTTTATTCCCTAATGCCGATCATCGACCACTCCAGACATTTTGATATTTGCCAAGCTGCTGTTAAAAGAATGCCCTTGGCTTCAACCGCCTTCTTTGACACGTCCAGGTTGATTTACAGCTTGCCTCTCAAGCTTAAGCTTAACTGAGCAGGTGGCTTAGACTCATTAATATTCTTGCTAACCCCTTTTGGCGCCTCCGTTTCGCTCTTTTCAACAACCTCTTCTGCATTCATGAATCGACCATCTGGGCCTTGAGGTCGTCTGAGTAGCGCACATGACACACCAGACGGAAATACATAAGGCGTGATCTTCGGCTTCGGCCGGGAATTCAATAGCTCCTTCAACCGCTGCCGTGCTGCGCGTCTTTTGAGAATGCGATGGGATTGCTTGGAGTTCAAGTTTGCAGGGCGCTTGTTGTTTGAAATGTCGATAGAACTCGTCAACGATTGTGATAACTGTTGGTGAGAAATCAGGGTCGGTTGTGATGAACCTAGCAGCTGCTGATCCGCGATGGGATGTTTGTCATCGGGGTCACTCGGTTCAGAAATGCTGGTCGTTGATTCTGTGGCTTTCAGGTACGAAACTTGAGAGATTCATATCCAGCGAGGCATGGCTCATAAAATTCTGAGGTGAGAGGCAATGGCATGGCAGGCTGCAGGCGCTTCATGGTCATGTGTTCCGGTCTCAGCCTTATCGAATTTTGACAAGTCCATGTATGTATTCCCGAACATTGCAGATATGAATTTGTTGACTGCTTTCTGTAAATTCTCAATTTAATGTCATATTAAGGAATTGACTGTTGCGATTGTGTGCAAAACGTTGTTTCACCAACTCGCCGCCTCGCTTGCCAGCCAACCTGGAAGGCAGCAGCAGCAGTGCAAGATACGCGTGACTCGGATTTTGCTAGATGATATCAGATAGTGAACTTGTGCTCAAATCTTCATACCGTTGGATATGAACTCCTAATGTTGAGTTATATAGCACTAATTCAAGTATTGACACATCAATTGCATGTTTCACAAAGGAGATATCTAAAAAGTGGATGGTGACAGAACGACTCTTGTCTCAAAGATTACTATGATTTTTAATATAGTTGTATTAGTATATATAACTCAGTACTTGATCACGTCTTGGAAACATATTAGACCTTTAGTATCGGACAGGAAACAAATTGCCTTTTAAGGTACACAGCAAAACTAAGAGCAACGCAAACAAAGCCTAATCCAAAAGTAGACAATCTTTCTACAATAAATTATGTTTAGTTCCTATCCTGAACACGCCCGTTCCCATGAGTATTACAGATTGGGTAAATTGGCTTATCGCTTTGGAATAAGTGTGAAACATACATTTATAACGAATCTTCGTTAAGCTATCACAAGCTTTGGGCGGAAATTTCAAGCTATGATTCCATAAGAGAAAATAAGGAGTACTCACAAACCATAAACACACGGAAATTTAGCAAGCGGCATAAGATCGACAGTAATAATAAACCCTAGTTATACAAGAATCCTCTGATGTGGAATATATGAGCACTTGCTAGGTTATAAACTTCTGTATAAAACTTGATAATATACGTTCATGGTCATCCTTCTACACCAAACCAATTCTAAATGGAAACAAGAGATGACATAGTGCAACACAAGGTTATTCCGTATATGCGTTTGCAATAAAAAACCTGATGACAATTACTTTTTTTGAAACAAGCCACAGTAAACTGCAAGCTACCGACAAAGTTGGTCTGCTGAAGTAGAATAAAGCAACAAGAAACGAAGAAACTAAGAAACTGAGAAGCCTCATGCCATATTACTCAGACCGCAAGTGCCTTATTTTACCCGTAACACAAAAAAGTCTAAAAATTATAGAGCCTTCGCTTCAATTGGAGTTGCAGGCAAACAAAATATTTTACTCGATACCGAGAAGGCAAATAGAAAGAGTGTTGTTGCTAGTGAATGAAGACTTTCATAAGCAATCAAAAGTGGTTGACAACTCATTGAAAGATATTATTTTCGCATTGTCTGGAATAATTGAATTGACGCTGAACCTTTAAAGGAAGGCAATTGCATTTGAACATATACCATTAAGGGTTGTGGCTAAAAGCTAACTCAACTTTGAGATGATGGTGTATGTTACCGAAACTGGCGAAACCCGTCGTTGCAGAAAAGTCAAGGCGCGGAAAACTCCCGCTCCACGCGAACCTGACATCACAAATTACAAAGCTCAACCACAACTCACCAAACCCCCAAAAATGAAGACCCTACGAGCCCTCCCAAAGCCCTTAAAGCTTTACAATCGCCCACCCTACATATGCAGAGTATGCAGACCTATTCCACTCACCAAAACCCACCACAGCCCCCTCTTCCGGGCTCACCAAGATCACAACCCGCCGTCTCGTTTCCCTCCGCGGCCCAGACGCAACACACTTCCTGCAAGGCGTCATAACCGCAAACCTCGCTCCCTCCACGCCTCGTATAACAGGATTCTACGCAGCGTTTCTCAATGCAAAAGGCCGCTTAGTAAATGACGTCTTTATATACCCAGGGGTCGAAGGAGCATGGTTGATAGAGGTTGATGCTAAGGAGGCGGACAAGTTGGTGAAGCATATTCGACGGTATAAGCTGAGGGCGAAGTTTGATGTGCGACTTGTGGAGGAGGGGGAGAAGGGCGTTTGGGCTGTTTGGAGGGAGCAGGAGGGCAAGGGTGGAAGGAATATTCTTTCGGCTCCAATGCCAGTTCGGAGGGCAAGGGAAACGACAACGTGGGATGCGAAGATGCGCGGGCGCCTGGGATGGGCCGACGTATCATTCTGCCTGGAGGGCGGAAGCCCGAAGAGGATGTCGAGGAGGTTGGAGAGGAAGTATATCGCGTACGCAGGTATTTGAGAGGTATTGCGGAAGGACAGGACGAACTAATTCGGGAGTCAGCGTTGCCGCAGGAAAGCAATGTTGATTTTATGGGGGCATTGATTATAGAAAGGGATGTTATGTTGGGCAGGAATTGACCATTAGGACGCATCATACAGGCGTCGTTAGGAAGAGGATATTGCCCGTCATGTTATATGGTGTGAATGAGCCTATACCGACTACTCTGGAGTACGATCCTAGCAAGGATTATGGATCTCAGGGCATACCTCCGGAAACGAGTATTGGGAGGTTTGAAAAGAGAGGTAGAAGTGCGGGGAAGTGGTTGGCTGGGATTGGGAATATCGGATTAGGTTTATGTAGGCTGGAGACAATGACAGATATGATAATTCAAGGTGAGGCTGGAGGCTACAAAGAAGGCGATGAATTTAAGCTGGAGTGGGAATTAGAGGGGAAAGGCACTGAAATAGTGAAGGTGAAGGCATTTGTACCGCCATGGCATCCCACGAATCAATAAGAGCCTTCTAAAGGTTGTATCAGGAAGATGTATATTAGAATGTAATTTAATAAAAAACACTTGTATACACACACGTTTTTCTTGAGTATGCCTTTGGTCAAGCGGATACATAGTCTTTCACATGGTAAGCATTTATGGCATTGTGATAGCATAGCATCAATTTTCTAATTAGGACTGTATTACAAGCGCGTGTGCGCATCTTCGCGTAATCTATTGGGTATAGTAATATGATGGCCTCCATGTCCCACTCCAACGCTAATGCCTAAATCAAAGAGGTATAATGTCGTCACATCGTAAAGAACCTACTCTGCAGTTTCCGCTGCCTCCTGCTTCCGTATCTCCTCTTCTAGTCGCTGTTTTTCCGCTGCTTTGAGCCGAGCCATTGTTGCTGCAAACTTATTGGTCTTTGGTGTACCGGCTGGAGAGAAAGAGAATCTCGGAGACGCTGAAGACTTATCGTCAGCTTTCAATCCATCCAATACATCAGGACGTTTAGTGGGTGTAGCTGTGTCTTGATCTACCACTCTTGACCCAGAACCTCCAGCAGGTGGGACAGATGGTGAGTCTGCAGGCACATAGACACCACTCTTTCTTGCTTTCTTTCTGCTCTCCTCTTTGCCTTTGCTGCCTCAGCTTCGCGAATCCTTCTTTCCAATCTCTCTATTTCATCTTCTTCTGGCTCCGGTTCAGGTGGCTTCTCAGCAGACGGTGGGATAGGGGTCTTGTCGCGAGGCGCTGGAGCTGGAGATGACGTTGCCATCATTGATGCCCTTGCAGCGCGCTTCTTTCTTCCTTCCTCGGCAAACCTCTTAAAGTCCTGCATGGTTGACTGATCTTCCTCCCTGGGTCGCTTTGTGCCATTTGTCGGTATGGCTCCTCTTTCGCGTGCCTCTAGATCTTCCTTCATTTGTCGCCGCTTGCCTTCAAACAGTTCATGCGCCCTCTGTTTGAGCAGCCTCGCATTACGGTTGTTATCATATTTGTTC